AGCGTGGTGTACCTAATAAAGTGGCCGGTGAGTGTATACCAACTTCTCTACTTGTCAGAGTTTGCACTACCTTTTATTGTCAAACAATATTTACCCATCAATTTTTGCATGATAATTGCATTTCATTTTCATTCTGTTTAATATTCAACAAGTTGAACAGATAATCCACACGAACCCCGCTACTTGGTATYGGTATCGGTGAGTACCTAAACTGAAGTAMTCGTACTTGTACTCAGTCTTGAAAAAACTGGTATCGGGACACCCCTAGTATAAATGGATAAGATTAGATTTTATCCAATATTTAGCGATGACTAAGTTTCTAGTCAAAAAGCACCTTGTGACTTCTGTTTACATCTGTTAGCTTTGCATGTCCAACTCCAAATTTGCAAATACACTTTGTTTTTATTATTGGAAGAAAGCTCTTAAGAATTTTAGGCACTGTCATTTTAGACATATGAGATTCACTTGGACGCTGAAATACTTCTTCACAGAGGAAATAAACTGATAGGATTGAAAGGAAACTAGCTTTTCTTACCTGTCCGGARGCTTTGGCTGCATTAAGAGCTTCTCCTGGTCCATCGGTGTAGATCTGGCTGAGAATTGGAAGCAGGAATGCTGCCGTCTTTCCGGAACCTGAAAACACAAACTCATCAGTACTAACTATCTTTGGCAGACTTTTGTTAAAGGCTGAGTGAGTCAGCCATTTTGAAGTGCTGTTCAAAGATTTAAACGTCATTTCTTCCACAGTAACTGCTCGTGTGTTTAAATAAAAGTAGTTTATAATGCACTGTGGCCTGAACAGACACTGCAGGCTAACCCTAATATTTGCTGCTTATTGTGATACTCAGAGTTATTGGAAATGTCTATAATTACATAGATATAYAGCATTTCAAGTAAGTCTTCTCTATCTTGGCTGTGGATCTTGAAAGATTTTAATGCTATTATAAGGGGGCTTCAAGCCCTACTGAATGCACACAGACTCTAAATTGTACTATAATCATTTTATTTTATTTTATTTTGTTGTTGTTTTTCTTTAACCTGTCAGTCACTTTAAGCTTATATCACATTTATATTATCTTCTTTGCTTTGTATTCTATTATGGGCACCGCAGTGGGAATTTCGTCACACTATTGTAGGAAGTATGACTGTGCAATGACAATAAAGATTATCTTATGAAAAATATGAATTACCGTATTTATTCGTGTATAATAAGATCTCGTGTATAACACGACCCCCCTTTTTTGAGCTTAAAAAGCATAAAAAATTGAATCCCCAAACTACCTCCAATTTCATACAGACTTCAAGATGTTTCAGCCTTTGCAGTCTTTATACATATCAGTAAAATGATCATTGGACTGTTCATTTTATTTTAACAACATATGTACTAAAAGGTATTTTGACAACAAATCTATATCAGCAGTGGCAGCATCATATGAATTCTGGCATTTTACACAAAGTCCACCAGGATGCGCCAACACAAAAGTCAGAGACTTCACATGAGATTTGGGCCATCTTCTGGGGCAAAAGCAGRTTACTTCCTACTCGTGAGCGCCCCCTCTGGTGGAGAAACYTTTTTCAGGKATACAAACTTTTTCAGAACACCGTAAGACGGCAGCCRTTACAGATGAACATGTTTGTTGTTCCAGGAGCGGCTCGGTCACACGCTRATGTCATTAGTTCGTTATCATTACTAAGGTGCAGGACTACTTTTCCCCCCTTTTTTCACATCATGACGCCTGCTTGGATCTGTTATTATCTCGCTCTGAAACAYAGAGGAGCGTCAGGGGTAAGCTCGTTTCAACTGATTTTACGACGTGGTCTCATTTCCGGACTCAATTTTGTGAATGAAGCAGATATTTCAGTTAAAATACATAAGTAAAAATATTTATCCGAGTATAGTACTAGCCCCCAACTTTATGGATGATTTTATGGATTTAATATTACGTATTATACTTGAATAAATACAGTAAGTGTTCTTTTAAAATTAAATGCTTAAAAATATGTTAAAGATAAAATAAATCCCAATGTGACAAGATGCAAACCATTATAATGCTACATGACTCCTTTTTCTTTATTTGCACCTCTGGAAAAAAAACAGTAGTTCTGTACAGAAATAATTTGTAGGTTAGGTGATAACTGGTAATTCTGATATAGATGGTTGAGGGTACAATACACAAGGACTTGTTTGTGAAAAAGATACAATGAAAAATCTGTAATAAACAGGTGAAAATGAATTTGATGTCAGAGTTATGGAGACAAATTAGCCAAAACCTTCAAAACTGAAACCTCAGCGGCAGATGTGCATTCCACTGTATCCTACTGGCATTTATGACACCTAAATAAATACTGAATTATCAAGTACAGGTAGTGTTTGAAATGCAAAAACACTGGCTTATATAGTCTATTACACAGTGATAAAGATGTTTTAACAGAGGAAACATTTCCAACTCACCCAAAGCCCCTTAAAGTAGCTGTTTTTAGTCTAAGGATGCATACCTGTCTGTGCACAGGCCATGAGGTCTCTCTTGGACTTCACTATAGGAATGGCATATTTCTGGACAGGGGTTGGCCTGGTGTAGCGGCTCAGAGCGATGTTACCCATGATAATCTCTCCCATGTCCACATCTTGGAACTGTTTTAATCAGGAAACAGCCCACATTAGAAAAAACACTAACAGGAAGCAGGTGATGTACGAGAAGATCTGTAAAAATCCAAAACAAACGGCAGCGGCTTACACTCTCGATGTGGTGAGGACAGTTCTGTCCCGTAGCTTCAACAGGAATGTCGTCGTATTTCTCAAAATTAATCCCAGTGTTACTGCCGGAGAACAACTCACTAAAGACAAAAATAAAAATAAAAAGTAAAAAAGTAAATAAAAAAAGCCAGAATTAGACATTTAGATCACTTACATAAGCTCATTCTTTAATGACAAGAGTTGTTTTTTAAGCAATCCTGTAAGAACAGCTGAGCAGATTCCTCATCTTAAGAACAGGTTAATCAGACTCACTGTTCAAGGCGCTCATTTCGCGGCAGAGGTTTGGACCAGTCGCCATCGTCTCTGGGCTCTTCCACCCAGCGGCTGTTTCCTCCACCGCCGCCACCAAACCCACCATGCTCGAACCTGAGCACAGCGCACATAACACAATGTTTTCCCCACTAACAACAGTATTCACACAACTTTATTTATTCTCTGGCCTATAGAAAAACTTTCAGTTGCCATTATAACAACGGCATCTGTTAGGGGTGCACGATATCATGAAAACCTGTGATATACGATAACCGTGCTTAATATTGTGAAGACAATATGACTTGTGATAAATATGAACAAATATTTTATCGAGTATTTAATTTCAGCTCTGGGTTCAGAGCAAAAAAATAAACAAAAACAGCAACTAATACATCATTTCCACTACAACAAGACAAGTTTTATTTTTTAATAAGTGAAACTAGACACAGCACCTGTAGCAATGAAACAACTGCATGTAAAACAGTTTAATTACTTTAAAACTATGCTCCTATTAAACATTTACTGATGCTCTAAATACCAAAAAAAACTTAGTTTTTTTGTTATTTAAACATTTTAGCCAGCCATATTTTGCAGTTTATGCAGTTTTTTGAGATATGCTTATTGCACGATGACAACAAATGTTCAATACTATGCAGCCCTAGCATCTGTTCTGTGGTAAAGCTGTTTAGCTCTTACCTTCCTCTGTTAGCACTGTCTCTATTATTGAAGAACGCAGACTTCCCTCGGTTGTTGCCGAAGCTGCTATAGGCATCCTTGGCAGTGTTCCAGCCGCCCGTGTCTAACAAAATGTAATATAGAAACAAGTACGGTTTCATATTTCATCATTAAAAGAAAGATTTACAGATGGGTTTTGGAACTAAAGGAATTAAAGAATGTGACGTCATCTCTTACACCCCTGCAGACAAACTAAACCACAGCTTTACTGTCATACCCACCAAAGCTCATAGGCTGCGCTGGGTTGATGGGGTTGAAGGCACCRCCCCTGTTGCCACGGTAACCGCCTCCTCCGACACCCCCGCGGCCCCGCTCCATGCGAGGTGGGCCACGGTTGAAGGTGTTGCCAGCCAGGCGGTTATCATGGTAGCCGTTAACAAAGTTATTGCGGCTCGCATCCCAACCGTCTGAAAAAAAAAAAAGAGTTGGGGAAAAATGATTCCAGGACCACCAGTTAACTGTCGGCCATGTTGGAAGGTGCTGCTGGTTGACTTTCAGTTCTTGATGCCATGAATTAGTCAGTTATTTTCTTGAGTTATCTAAAAAACAGCACAGCATAAGTGTTAAAGCATCAGGTACTTCATTTGTTAGATTTTCACCACGGTAAATATACATTTAACCACCAGATTTAAAACAGAACTGGTCTTATGGTTTACCAACTTAGACCCAGTCATGTCTCGTCTGCTGTAAAAACAAATTGTGCAGACATGGGTGCATATTTGCCTTTTTTGCACAAAAGAAACTATTCTTTTACTTTATATTAAGCAAATTACAATGAAATCAGACATTTTAAATTTTACTCAAGATGGCAACAAGGTGAATTTAATAACCTCACATATGTTCTTGTCTATTTAAAGGTGTAGCCTGTAAACTGGACCTTCAGAAATAAATAACTKAAGAATTATAACTGGAGTTAATCTGAGTTTAAAGAGTAACTTATTATTGTTATATAGTACCGTTTCTGTGCTAATTTTGATGTTTTTGTGCGTATTTGTTCAAATCTGTAATATTTGGTCTAAAAACATGTTTTTGCTGCTCATATGGGTAGAGCAGAGGTACTGCAGGCTAATGGCTCTCCAGGGTGACGTGTCTTCTCCACGGTTCCATCACAGCGGCTGTGTTCTGGTATAAAAGTCTCTCTCTAAGACACGCTCCTGCAACAGTTGGCAATCTTAGCATGCATGCATGTATGTATGTATGTATGCATGCCTGTCTCTGTCTCTCCCTCTCTCTCCCCCTCTGCGATACTGTGGTCACTCTCCATGTAGCATCAATTATGCTAATGCTAGCTGACTG